GACGGGCAGATCAAGGCTCAGGGAGGTGGCCGGACGGAGAGCCTGGCCACATCTTTCCTGGCCTGGGGCCCTCGCTGCTGCTGCCGCCTGTGGTTCAGAGTCCAGGGCCCACATCAGGAAGCCTCACCCTGCCCATGTTCCCAAGTGCACGAAACACTAGCTCTGCCAAGCCTAGTCCCTGCCCGGTTCCCTGCTGAAATCTGCCCGCCGGGTATCAGAGGCTCTGAGAAAGGGTCTCCGCACTCTCTCGGATAATAATTAGCAGTTCTCATAGGCCAATCTGACACACCACCTAGAGGCAGAACTAGCGACCTCCACAAGGCAGAAGAGAAACATTCCTTCCCCAAACTGCCTCCTGTTTCCACCTGTCCCTGCATTCCTTCAGGTCAATTTTGAGGCAAACATCACAGGAAGGTCCACACATTAATCCATCATCAACCATGGCACCCTATGTAGAGGAAGTTTATTAGCTCCCACACTCAAGGTCTCCCTGAGAAAAGGTACAAATCTCTAAGAAGGGAAATGCCGGGGCTTGGACCACTGTCCAGAGCAGCAGGCCCGGGCTCTGAGTCCCCGGGGGTGTACCAAGAGTGCCAGGTATGTAAGCAGGGGAGAGAGTCAAGGCCACAGAGGTGAAGCCAGAGGCCTATGCTGCAATCCTGCCTCCACCTACCTACTCTGCGATTTCAATGCATAAATGTGAAAAGGGAACATTTTACAAGTGTATTTATAAACCTATATTTTAAGTGTTTCAGAACGTCAACACCTAGAAGGGGCCTTAGAAACCATTATATGGATAAAAGGGTGAAGTGCAGGTAGGTGAAGTGAGTTGCCCAAGTCACTTGGCTTGTGAAGGTCAGGCCTAGCTCTCCCTGACTCCTCTACAGCCAGAGACAGACTGCCCTTCCCCAGTGCAAGGTAATCAATTATTTACCTGTTTGCTGCAAACTTCAGACTGAATGTTCCTTGAGAAATTGGGCCATTCATTAAATTATTCAACAAACATCTACTGTACTTAGCAGGAGCTAATTGTGGAGGCAGGGAAGTAAACAAATAACTCACAGGGGCTACCCGTGGACAGTAGATGAAAAGCATTTAGGACGATGTCTGGCCCATAGTAAGTGCTCGATAAATGCAAAAGTATTCTTCTAGTGAGATGGAAATAAGGGGAGAGGTGTGGGCAAGGGTCAGATCATGACCAAACTCATGTGAAACACTGAAAGGTTGGGATTTGCCCTGGAGACAATGAGGAGCTGATGCAGGGTTTAGAGCAGAGGAATGACATCATCAGATTTTAGGAAGGCCACTCGGGCAAAACTTTGGAGGATGAAAGTTAAGTAAAGGAGATTAGTTAACGCAGCTCTCAAGACAGTCCAAGTGAACAGTGATGAAAAGCTGAATTGCAACAGTGAAGCTGGGGATGGAGAGAGGTAGTTTAAGAAGTGCAATTTCAAGAGGTCGAGAGGTCAAGATAAGGGAGAGGGGAGAGACAAGGCAGACCCTGGCCCAGGCCCTGGGAACAAGTATGGTGGCCTTTACCAAGATAGGGTCCCCAGCTACAACTTTTATCGGCGAAGAAAATGATGTCAATCTAGGAGAAGTTATTTGGGGATGCCTAAGGGACATCCAAGGGGTAGAGGTCCCGGAGGCATTCATATTTCCAGATCTACAGTTCAGGAGAAATGTCTGAGCTTGAGGAACTAATATGGAGAACTCAGCCTTTAGATGACAGCCAAAGCAGTGAGGGCTGGATAAAATGTAGCCACTCAACAATATTTATTAACACCCTACTATCTGCCAGGCACTGTGAAAAGTGATAAGGGTAAAGCAGAAAACAAGAAAGAGAAGGCCCCTGCCCTCAAAGAAGTTATGTTCTGATGAGAAGAGCCAGAATATACATATATACATACACATATAAATAAAAGAAAAATATTAGCTAGTAAAAGCACCACACAGAATTAAATTAGAGTGTGGTGTGATAGCGACTGGCTCTGTAGTTCCTTTGCCTTTGCTCAGGAAAGAGCGTGAGGAGCAAAAAGGAAGGCTGAAGACCACAAGCTAGGAACCCACAGTTGTGGGCCAAGCACAGAAGGTGCAGTGCCCAATACCGAGCATGTCATATGCATCAGGATGTCTTGACTCCTGGTCTACACTCTCATCTGGAGACAATGCCATCACCTCCAAACTAGAACCTCCAAGAATAGTTCTAGCAGTCCATTATTCCATTCAGAAACTATGATATGTACTGGGCCCAGCGCTAGGTGCTCAGGATAGGGCAGTGAACAGGGCCATCAAGGTCCCTGCCCCTCAGAAAGCTCACATTCTAATAGGAGAAGACACACACAAGCGCACACACACACCAACTACAGATATCTAAATAAAGTACTGCAAGTTGTGCGAAGTGCTGTGAAAAATGTAAACAAGGGCTAATAGTAACAGTGAGTGATCTACTTTAGGTAGGATGGTCAGAAGGAAAGCCTGTCTGAGAAAATGACATTTAAGATGAGTCTTCGAGTTTGCCATGAAAAGGATGGTGGTGTGGACATTCCAAGCAGAGAGAACTGCATGTGCATAGGCTTAGAGGTGGGAAAGAGCTTGATAGGTTTGAGGAACTGAGTGATAGCCAACAAGGACAGAGGACAGGGCTGGAGAAAAAGAAGTAATGGCACTGGAAATACAAACAGAGTCACATCACTCAAGGCCCCCCTGGCTGCATACAATGTTTGGATCTTACTGTAAGGACAATGGCAAGCCACTGATGGGTTTTTCAAGCTGGGCAGGACCTGATCTGATTTTCATCTTAAGGGATTTCTGGCCAGGAGAGGGCCTAAAGATTGGGAGCCAGTTCTTTCTGAGCATGCAGCGCCTTGAGGCCATCCTCCAATCACACAGTGTGGTGGTCCTTTATTTCACCCACAATTAGGGTCAAGCCTCCATCAGCAGAGCAACTTTTCCTCCTTGGATCTTCTGCCTGGCCTAAGTGCTTCCCAAAAAGCCCCATAAACTCACTAAAGTGTTTCCAATAGACTTTGCTAGAGTATTGGGAAAATGGATGCTTTTGTAAAAGGACACAAAATAATAAAACAAAACCACTCCCTCATTTCTGATGGAAATTTGTTTTCTCCTCCACTGCTTTCCAGTAGTCCACAGCCTGAGCAATTGTCTTTGCTCTTTACTCTGTCTCCGTTTATCTTCCAAAAGGCCATGAACATGTGTATACTATGTCGGGGAAGAGGGTGAATCCCCCTCTGCCCTTTCCCTTAAGGTTCTTATGGCTGGCCAAATAATTAAAAAACAGGTGAGCAGAAGAAAATAATACCAAGTTTAATAACATGTATACGTGGGAGAAACCAGGGAAACTGAGTTTCTCAACACAATAGCAGCGATTCTCATCTTAAATACCATCCTCAGCTAAAGACAAAGGAGGATGTTGGGGGTGGGGAGGGAGACAGAAGGGAAACAGAAATTACAGTAATCAAGGCTATGCAGATTTAAGGCCTCATCCTCCACACTGATAGGTTTCTAGAGAGGCCATCCCTCCTTCCCCCCAGCAGAGAGAGTGAGATACCTTTACAAATGGAGATTTCCCTTATAAATGTAAATGTTTGTCTGGCAACTCTTTGCAGGGCCATCTAGAGAATGTGGCCTGGGAGAGACAGAATTTTTGATAAGATGGGCTTGTTGGTGCCTTTCCTATTGTAATATCTATTTTACATTATATTACAGCCATCATATGATAGTAACTCCTTCCTGGAACAGGTCTTCTATGTTAAATTCTTTAGGCAGTTTGGGGGAGGTCAAATGTCTCTCAGAGAAAATAATCAAGGTAAAGAGACATATTTCAGGGTGGCCAAATTTTGATCTCCCACAACTACTATGAACAATAACAAAGAACTATAAATTCTTATTGATCCCAGAAGGTTGGGAATTCTAAACAATGAAAATATGTCCTCTGACTGCTTCTCTCAAAATAACATTTTGGAGACACAAAAGAGCTTTGTTAAAACAACAAATGAGATTTTGGGACACTTTGGGCCTAATTAATGGTGGGCTCAGGTCACCAGGTATTGATGCAATAAGCGACTTCAGACACAAAGTTGGAAAGACCTCCCTGCCACCCTCTCCTGGGCTTACTTTCTCATTTCTCAGCCCACATTTTGACTGCATCAAGCTGAGTTTCCTATATAGCTTTCAATTGCTATTGTTTTCAGGAGCTAGAATTCTCAGCCTAAAGAGAAAGTCTCCTTTGTCCTCCATCCATGATTTAATTTACATTCTCCTGAACGCTCCCCATTCACTTTGTTTTCAGGCTAAGAAGTCTCACAATTGTACTAGACCCGGAATTTGAATTTCCCTGTGTTTCTGCTGTTTGGAAATTTGCCCAGGTCAGCCACTGGACAGTCCCAGAATTCAGCTTTACCTTAGAGAAAATCTTTATTGTTCATGATTTCTTATAATATTTCTAACTACCGTCATATATTTTCCCCTCGATTTCTACATTTTTGTCTTTCAAAATACACAGATGTGTGTGAGTGTACATATACACAGATGTGTACATATCTCTTCTCTGATAATCAGTAAAGTTTCCACTATCTTTTCCAACTGGATCACATTCCTAGGGAGATGTCCCTCCTTTGTTCCCCAGATTTTGGAGGGGTGCTCTCAGCTGCATTTTTTTCTGCCTTTTTCACTCACATGCACCCTTCCCGGCATTCTCCTGATCCTTCAATACCATGATTCACAAGACAATGTGACCAACTGACTTTCTATGCTTTTGTCTCTGTTCTCGTCTATAAACTTCTTTTATAATGCAAATACATAAAATTTACTAGAAATGGGCAAAACTTGACCACAAAGTAATACAAATGCAAAGAAATGCCAATTTCTAATAAAAAGTATGTAGTAAATTAATTAAGAAGCACTAAGGAAGAAATTGTTCTTTTTGCTCTTTGGACAATCTTGAGGGGAAAACAGATAATTGCTAGCAGAATCTGGCTTACCGGAATGTATTATAATCCACCATCTTTGTTTGGTCACAGTCAGCAGCTGTAAATACCTGCTTGATCTCTGTGGATTTTGATTTTTCTTCTTTCAGCTTTTGTAGCACAAGTTCAATGTTGCTCCAAGGAAACTGAAAGGGGGAAAAGAAAGGAAAGATATTTCAATATGCCTGAGACACAGGGAGCCCAATCTTTCTGACGGCCAACAAAGAGACTTCACACTGTGAACCTGAAGCTAGCTGGGCATGTCTTTCATAAAGATCAACACAGAGAAGACAGGACTAGATTTGTATCTCTTCAGTTAAGGTTTAGGACAATGAGTGACATTAGCATAGGGCCAGATCTGAGAGAAATGAGCTTAAGGGACAGCAGGCCACAGGAATCAGAAAACAACCCCTGCTTCCCCCTCAGCCTCCTCCCTTCACCCTTGGACCTTGGCCCAATACGTTGGGAGACCCTAATGAAGAGAATGGGGATTCAAAATTGTAAAAGTATACCCCCATTTTCTCAAGGTCTTTAAAGTGGGCCCCCTGGAACTGCTGACCACCAGGCAATACACCGAGCAGATCAAGGCCGGGTGTCAAAGGTCCACATGCACTGCAATCTCTCACTTACATTCACTCTCAGGCAGACCCCAGTTCCTGTCTCCTACACTGTGATTTGGTTTTTGACTCTGTAAGAGTACTTCTTATTCCATCCAGTAAAGCATAAGGCTATAAATAATTACAGCTAAGAGCTAAAAAACGAAAAGACTAAATATGAAAATAAAAACATTGATGGTTATTTAGTATGAAGTTCTCTCTCTTCCACCAGGGGGTTTGGCAACTACTGTGCAGTCCCCCGTTCCCCTCCACTTTTTGCACTTCTTTTAATCTATTTCCATGATAGGATCCATTAGCTCTTTTGAAAAGACTCCTCAGACTGATATTAAAGAGCATATTAATCTTTCTCTGCTTAGAATGTCCTTGTTAAGGGTAGTTTTAAAATAATGCAGTTCTCACTTGGGATGCTGATACCAGATAATGTCCTACCCTGCTTTCATCTTTCTGAAAGGAGAAAAAGCCCTTTATATCTTAAAAAATATATACTCATGCTATATATATTTTATATTAAGATATAGATTTACCCTGTGTTTGAAAATTAAGCCCTAGTTTACAATAGCTATTATAAATCATACACTGACTTAGCTTGCTATGGGCCACACAGAGCTAAGCACTTCACACACATTATCACATCTAATCTTCACAGCAACTCTCTGAAATAGGCACTGTTGTTACTCCTATTTTAAAGATGGGGAAAGTAAAGCTCAGGGAAGATACATGTCTAAGGCCCCTCAGCTATTAAGTGTAGAGTCAGTCTTCCAAGCCAAACCTGCTGCTCTCCAGAAATCTAACCGTCCTACTATTGAGCCTCTCACCTGAATTCTGTGCTTTTGAATAGCTACCAGTTCACGGTTTTACAATAACCTGAATTCCCACGCTGCATATGGAGAGATGGTGTGGCAGTCCTAGAGGGTGCTGCCTGGGCCTCTCATCAAGAGAGACTTTGCAGAGAAGAGCATTGTTAGCTGCCAGCCCCCAGCTGCTGCACCTTCAGGATCATTGCAGTGTTCCTACCAAGGCCACACTCTCCCCAGACTGTTCCTATCCAATGACTGACCACAGAGAGGGTACCAGATCTGGGCCATTCCTGCCTGACGTGGGACTTCTCGGATGGGCAGTCTTTGCTCTGGGGCTCCCCATAGGCCTGGCCAAGACTTGCTCAGAGCTGCACTGTGTCTGAGGCTCTTCCTACCCCATTCTCCTTCCGTCCCTCTCCTTTCTCAGAGGTCAGACCCACATCTCAGTCTTCCCACCTACTCCTTCTCCCTTCCCCTTGATCCTTCATACACGTTTCCCCCAATACATCTCTTGCATGTCTAATTCTGTCTTGGCATCTGATTCTCAGGGAGTCAAACTGACAAGAATGATGTGATATAAACAGAGAGACTGATCTTATCAACTTGACTCTGAGCATTTTATAAATAAATGAGATAAAACTGGTACTGTGTATATATAATTGGTACATAAATATTATTACTTACAGGTAGACTTTTAAAATAAATTGTTCCTAGATAGCTTTTTCAATATTAGGTAATGATTCTCAAATATATACATATTTGCACACCAAACTAGTCTACACTTAAAATCAAGATTTTATCAATATGTTATTTTTACTGAACAGCACTGCCATAACAGTACTTTCAGTAACAGTACCCATCTGCCAGATTATTTCAAATGAAAAAACTCTTGGAGCTCACTGTTGCCAATTTGTCCTTGCTTTCTTTTTTTTTGTGAGGAAGATCAGCCCTGAGCTAACATCCATGCTAATCCTCCTCTTTTTGCTGAGGAAGACCAGCTCTGAGCTAACATCTATTGCCAATCCTCCTCCTTTTTTTTCCCCAAAGCCCCAGTAGATAGTTGTATGTCATAGTTGCACATCCTTCTAGTTGCTGTATGTGGGACGTGGCCTCAGCATGGCCGGAGAAGCGGTGCATTGGTGCGCACCCGGGATCCGAACCTGGGCTGCCAGTAGCGGAGCCCCGTGCACTTAACCGCTAAGCCACGGGGCCGGCTCGTCCTTGCTTTCTTATTTAGGCCTCGGGTAGCTCTTGTTATGGGAAGTTACAACCCCAGCAACTACTGGATTTCCTTGGGGTTTCTGTTTGTTCAGGTCTTGGCTTTCTCTGTAGGCCTGTGCCAATTAACTGGGATGGCACAGTGTGTGGCACCAGATTTTCTTCCCTTCCTATAGCTGCTGAATTTCTTTCTGAAAACATTGTCAGCGTCAGCAGAAAATCCAGGAAACTTGATTCAATTCTGTGCCTGCCTCCTGCCTGTGCCTGGCATCCGTGATGCTGGGCAGTAGAGGACCCAGCATGTAAACAGAGTAGACCAGGACCCGGCCTTTGTGACAGGAACCGCAGCCAAGTTGTGTGGATCCATTATTCATGTCCACATGTGTGAATGCCCAATGTAAAATGGGTGGCAAGAAGAAGAAGAAAAGGTCTAGTGAAAGAAAAACACAGATTCCAGAGCGCTGAGAGGCAAGTCAAGAATTATACAAAGTAAGTTTACCTTATCTGAATTCTGCTCCATGTAGTTTAAGGTGTACTCATCAGCATTGAGCAAAAGAAATAGGTAGCCATTCACGTTCACTTTGGCTCCAATATATAGCTCCTCAACCTTGATATATTCTGATAGTTCACTTTTAAAGACTTCTTGTCCAGGCTTCTTAACACGAATTCTTTTCAAGAACCTCCCACCAGTAATCCCTACAGAAAAAGAAAAGTTGATGAGTAGACTTTATTCTTAAAAGAACTATACAACTTGCCTTTGAGTTACTTTATGCTCAAACACAGACCATACAACTTAGCTGTGAACTCATATTGCCTATTATTCTCAGTCTTAAGGGAAGAATGAGGCAGTAGGTGAAGAAATGAGACTTCCTAGGGAGTGTGTAAAGAAAAAAGTGGTATGGCATTCCAGCCTTTTCTTTCTTCTCTCTACTCCCTTCGCAATCCAAACACTTAAATTAACACTTAGCAAGTACCTTCCATACGCCCAGCAGCATACTGGGAACTGGGACATCAGGAAGATATTCATCTTTAAAGCATGTTTGAACAGTACCAGGAAGAAAATTCTTCACTTGAGCTTATTTCCACCTGTTTGTCCCAGATGATGTCTTACACTTAATCTGACATGTGTAAGATGCCCCACTTCTGGAAAGGAGTTACTTAATTGTTTGAAGATAACTATGGGAGTCCCTTTACCTCTTTTTTTCTACAGGTGAAATATCTTTGCTTCTTTTTGCAATGCCTCATATTTGTTACTTTCCAGAATTCTCACCATTTCATCTGCTCTCTTCTGAGCATTATTTGGTTTTTGATCTCTTGGAAAGCAGTGAGCAGAGTTGAAAATGGGAGTCCAGTATCTTCTAACTGATACCGAACTGAAATCTTCAGACCTATGAATACAACCTCAGGCCAGATGAGCTTTTGCGGTCAGCGTCCTTACACTCCTCCTATCATATTCAGAAACCATAGGTGGTGGAAAAACTAGGCTTTGGAGCCAAACAGAGCTGGAGTCCATCCTGGCTCTGTCACTTGCTTGCAGGATGATCTTCAGAAGTTACTTAATCTCTGTGAACCTCTCTGAATTCTCACTGGTAAAATGGGAGTAAAATTTGTGGGGCCATGAAAATGTACCTCTCAGATCATCTACGGTGGGGAAGATAGTTGATGGAAGGCCCCAGCTGCTACGTTCTGAAATCTATCCCCAGATTTGTGCCAAGGTCATGCTTCCCACAGGTTGCTGCCAACAAATGACTAAGCAAAGCAGGGATACTAAGGCAGGCCCATTCCTGCAAGACGGGGGCTCCTCCAAGTAGTGACTTTGGCTCTAGGACTCCCAGTCAGCCTTGCCAAAACATTCTTAGAACTCCACTGCAATTTAAGACCTCCCCCTTTCTTCCTTTCCTCTGTCCTTCACAGGAATCAAACATGCACTGCAGTCTGACGGCTTTCCCAGCCTCTTCTGGATCCTTCCACATTTTCTCTCACCAGCATTTCCCCTAATAAATCTCTTGCACATTTAATCTCAACTTGAGGTTTGCCTCTTGGAGGACCTGAACTAACACAAAACTTAACCTCATCAAGTTCTTGTAAGGATAACAGTAGGTACTCAATCATGGCTGCTATTATTACTAGTAAGCTTGTAGTTGACTACCATCACCCTTTCTGTTTTATGCATGCTGCAATTTGATTGGCCACATCTTCCCCATTCTAGATGTATAAACTTGATTTTTTGACCTTTAAGAGCATGACTTTATATTCATCCCTATTCGATTTCACATTTTAAGATTTGATCCATTATTCAAATCACTGTGGAACCTGACTTAGCTATACAAATTATTCATAATTCATTGGTGTGCTGAGTGGCTTGTACAAGCTCATAAGAGCTGATAAATTTTCAGGGATTTTGCAAGTTGTTAAAATGTTGATTGCTTGAAATTGGCCATGGTTGGGGTGTTTACACCATGGAAATTGGCACATGGTACAAATCAGGGCTTTTAAAATTTTTTCAGACAGCCAGTTAGCCAGCACACCACTGATTATTTGTCCCAAAATGTGTGTCTTCAGCACAGTTAAAGGTTTAAACATGCTGGGACAAAGAACAGAGCCTTAGAGTTCCATAATCTGGTAAGTCAAAATCAACGGCTCTCCTCAGCAATGGCCACAGTATCAGCACATTGCGGAGAGGCATTCCGTGGGCCTGGGTGCTGGAACCTTGGTAATAGCCTCTACATACAGAAGAGGCAGAATTTGTTAATTCTTGTCTTATAGTTAAGCAAAAATTTTGTAAGCAGTACTATCAAGAATACAGATTTCCTCTTGTCTTGCTGGCTGTGAGTGGAAGCGGTGGTAGCCAGACAATGATCTTGAAGCCCTTGAATTCTACAGAGGTACCTCAGAGGCCACAGAGGAAGGAAAAATAGTGGCCAAAAGGAGATGTCCCTAGTCCCCCAGTCCTGAGCCAACCAAAACTGTTCCTCTTTTATCATTCTATATGTCTGGGTTCTTTTCCCTTTGTAAAATGAACTTTAGTGGTTAAAAAAAAAAAAATGAAAGCCACTATCTTAGATCATCTAGGCTATGAAATCAGATCATAGTTCCCAACTTTCAAAACAAAGAGACAGTTAATTGGTCTGAGGAATTGCTATGAGAGGTATGTTTCTTACCTGAATTCTTCTCTATAGGTTCAAACACTGAAATTGTGTCATCACTGAGAAAATATGAAATAACAAACATTCTGTCCACATCGGCACATTCATGTGTAATTAGTTTTGCAAAAAAACGGAGTGTATTGCTTATGTTGCCGTAGCTAAATGGAAGAGAAATGAAGGTTACAGCATTATACAAGTCATCTTCCATACATCATGTATGTAAAAAAACCTGCAAAAGGTGTGCTATCGGTTTTTTTTGACTTATAATTGACATATAACATTATATTAGTTTCAGGTATACAACATAATGATTCGATATTTGTATATATTGTAAAATAATCTTCATAATAAATCTAGTTAACATCTGTCACCATACGTAGTCACAAAGATTTTTTGTCTTGTGATGAGAACTTTTAGGATCTATTCCCTTAGCAACTTTCAAATATGTAATACAGTATTATTAACTATAGTTATCATGCTATACATTACATCCTTATGACTTATTTATTTTATAACTGGAAATTTGTATCTTTTGACACCCTCGACCCATTTCACCCACCTCCCACCCCCTAGGTGTGCTCTTGTTTTAAGATAGTAGCATAAACTTTCTGAAGTTGAAAAACTACAACCATCTTCTTATTAAGGTTCTAAATCTATACACAGAAATTTTCTCAGTTTACTAAAATATCTCTTATTCTTTAGATGTCCAGGATAACATACTGGGAAAATATACCCAAAACAAATGTCATAAACACACTGTTCAAACTAGCTGCATTAAATGGTTGTTCCCTACTCACAAGGCTGGTCAACAATCACAACAATCACGTCAGCAAGAAGCACAGCACCCAGCCCTCCTCACGGAGCACTCCAGAGGGTGTGCTCTGCCAGTGCCTGGAGCCACCTCCCCATTTCACCTCCCACTTGCTCATGCCCATTTCTTTTCTTTCTTCCAGCCCCACATCCTCTCCCCCTTAAGTCACTCCCCCAGTTCCCCAGCATCCCTCCAACTCCCTTCAAGGGAAAAATTCCCTTTTGCCTTTCAAATGCTATATTAAATGCTATATTAAATACTATTAAATACTTATCACCCATATCGTAAGTAGCCATTACAAGTCTGTTTTCCAAGGGCAAGGATTGTGTCTTATTAACCACTGTCTAATATAACACTTTTTACATTATAAGTACTCAATAAATGTTTGTAGAAAGTTGTTATAAGATCTGCATAGATTGAAATTTGCATTTAGAATTCTATGCATGAATAGAATAGTCTAGCAGACTGAAGATGGGATCAAATTCTAGAATCAAAAGTTCCCAAAGGTGATTGTCTGGTCACTGAAGAAATTAATTTATGGTCTGTTGGCACAAGCATGTCTACAGATATCAGCTAGTGAAAGGTGGACTTCAGAAAAAACAGTAAACCCTTGGGGAGGTCTTAGATAATCAAAATCATTACCCCAAGGAGGCACCAAGTAAAATAAACTGTGTACTTCATCACTTGCCTGTCCCAACTCTAAGCAGGGAGGTCCTCACTTTCAGATTCTCCTACGCTGAAATTAATTCTTTCCTTGTGGTCACAGTGATTTAAAAAAAACAAAAACAAAAATATGTATTTCTGATTTGCAGAGGCAGAAAGTGCTTTTCTCTGCCCCTTCCTTCAATTGTCCAAGGAAGCAGGGCTAAAAAGACATGGCACCAAGATTCCCAGCTTGAGATCTCTGTGAGATGGAAGTAGCAATTTGGAAGGCTAGCCTCAGGGCAGCCTAGACAAAACAGCCAGATTTCCACAGCTCTGTTTTCTTAGTCCTGGTTTCCCAGGCTTCAGACAGACCTCATACAGTGCAGGAGGTAGCTATACCTTGTCAACCATCTTCTCGGTACATAATTGGAGTTGTAAGTAACAAACAAATCTGGTAACCCCTTCTCGTGAAAGACCCATGACTTTTACAGATGCCTGAAATATCACTGAAACCACTGAATGAGGTCTAACGTCAGGCCAAATGAACGCTACTATAAATTTAGCTTCTTAGAACTTACATAAATTTATAAGTGTGTATGTTAAGTGGGGATTTTTCACGTTTAATGTGCCATTTTTCCACCTAATTCTAGTATTCTAGAGAGCTCATCAATCCAGAATATAATCTACTCAAACAAAATCTTTAGATCAGCAGTTGACAAACTTTATTGTATATAAAAGTCACCTGGGGAGCTTGTTAAATATACAGTATCCAGAGTTCTACTCCCAGAGATATGGATTCAGTAGTTAGCTTGCATCCCCAGAAACCTGCATTTTTAATAAGCTTCCCAGGAGATTCTGATGAAGTGGTCCCCAGAGCACACTTTGAAAAGCACTGCAAGTTATCTTCAGATATTGCCTTGACTAATAAGCTAATTATCAAACTTCTCTAAACACTCTTTTTATCACAGTACTTCCAGCACTCAAAAAACTTGAGCATTTTCCCTATTTCCTATCCTGAATAGCACCACCTATACTGTTCAATCTGGCTTTCCAGGCCACTATAGTCAGGTTCAAACACACACACATACAGCTATGTGTCATGACCACCTGTAATACACTCTTCTATTCAAGTCACACAAGTAGCTTCATTTACTGCCCCACCCTGTGCTCGTTTCTGCTTCCAGGTCTTCATTGATATCATCCCCTCCCCCAGGGCACACCCTTGTCCTTTCCTGTGCCCGTCCAGAATCCTGTCCATCCATTTGGGCCCCAATCAGTAGAGCTTTCCTTGGCCACGACTGTCCTCTCAGCTGACCACCTACTCATGCCTCCTGCACCTACCATAATCAGTAGCACAAAATTTAGCACCATATAGACTTGTATTCTTGGCTATTCCTTTAAATGTGTTTATTCCCATTGTCCCAAAACAAATGATAAATTCCTAGGTCCAGCAGCTATATCTTAACTTTTTCTACACACAGCCCAGAGTTAATCTATAATCACCGTCTTGAATTCTCCCATTCTCTTTTTTTTTTTTTTTTTAAAGATTTTATTTATTCATTTTTTCCCCCCAAAGCCCCAGTAGATAGTTGTATGTCGTAGGTTCACATCCTTCTAGTTGCTGTACGCGGGACCCGGCCTCGGGTTGGACGGAGA